GGAGGGAGAGGTATCAGGAGGCTTCTCCCCGGCTGGGCCCTTTCAGCCAGCCTTTCTCTAGGCCAGAAAAGACCAACCAAGGAAGGGGAAAAGCCCAGGGGTCTGAGCTTTAACTACTAGCACACTGATAAGACTATATTGGCACGGAAAGTATTGCACATGCTAAAAAAAAAAAGAGGAAGGAAAATGCAAGAGAATGAAATGGGATCATGTTTGGAAAGAACAGAAGCACATGAGTTATGATGATGTCCCTATTGCTCCAAACAGTGTGATGTTTTCCTGTTTTAGTGTTGGGTTAGTGGATCCAGTCCATTCAAGACTGCTTTCCTCATCAGTCAAAAGGTACTGCGCGTGTGCGTGTGCGTGTGCATGTGCGTGTGTGTGTGTGTGTGTGTGTGTGTGTGAGTGTGTGATTCTGAGTCCACATGAGTTGCTGTCAGTTGTGGTATAATGAGAGGAGCCTATCTGGATGCCTTGTATTCCTCTTACCACTGAAGGTTAAAGAACAAAATGGAAAACCAAACCTAGTAATTACAAGTGCCCTGAGCAGAATATATGGAAGATTAAGCAAGTTCTCAGAAACGGTGGAAACAAAACCAAAACCAAAAACCCCATAGCACTAAATAAGCAAGCAACAGTAGGACTACAGGAGTGGGCCTGCCCGGCTCCCTTGGCTGGCAAGCTGGAAGGGTGATCAAACTGAAGAAAAACCAAGGACCAAGGACCTAACGTATCAAATGTTTTTGGTACACCCCAGAAAAAGGTTTGTGGAGGTCATTCGTTCTGGTGAGAGCAAACTGCCAAGTAACTCAGGATTGCAAAAATGTGGGTTCATCTCAGAATTTCTTCTTTAATTTGCAAACTAGACGAGAAATTTCTGTTTGCGATGGTAAAAGAAAAATCAGGTTGAGTCTTTGCTCAGATCACTGGCGGCCATTCTAAGTAGTCCTGTTTTTAAAAGTCCTTTATACAAAACATTTCTTTGTAAATCACCTTATCATGCACAAACAATATTTCCGATGGCTGGGAAATGAAATATTTAAACCATGAAATATCCTTTCTGGGTTTGTACCAAACATTACATCTTGATTTCCAATGTGGGGGAGGGGGGTTTAATCTTTAAGGAAGAGTAATAACAATAATAAAGTAATTAACAAAACTTGCTCACATATAAAAGTATCTATGGAAAACTCTCTCAATGCATCTGAAGACAAATTCTCAGAGTTGAGAGCTGTCTTGCTGAGATCTGGTTCTTCGTGACGGAGCTAGCAGAGAGGAAAATCAGTACAGAACCTGATGAAGTGGTCTAGAGAGCAGGCAGCTTAGAAAGGAATTGCTACATGTAGGTGTGCTCGTTCAGTTCCCCTAACTCTTTCCCACAAGGTTACTGGATATATATTTTTAAAAACTGCAGGAAAATCACACAAATTTTAAACGCAAAATGTGCAAATCGCAAGGTTCTTTAAAAGTTATCTTATAAAGCAAAAAACACTGGACTGAAAAAAAAAAGGAGTATTTTTTTCTCCATCCCTTTTTTCTCTGTTTTGCCGCCAGCTCTGCATATGCCTTTAACTCTCAAACAGCAAAGTGAAAAAGTGCCTCCTGTCAGGTAGTACTTGGTGGTCATTTATTGTCACATACTAGTTCATAATTCACATTCATCCTTTTAAACCACATTGAAACTTCCAATAGCTTGCTCATGAGAAATTCTGCAGAGCTGAAGTGTAGTTAACAGTGGTGGGAGGGGGGGAAAAAAAAGAAAGAAAGCGACTTATTATTATCATTATTATTATTTTTCCTCCCAAACAGTTTAAAGTCAGATACAGTACTTGTTGAATGCTAGACCAAGATGCTTGGTAATAAAGTGTGCACAGCATTCTAAGTGCTTAGAAAGAGCAATAGAGGTTCAACTTCAAAATCGAATTTCTTGCGTCACACTGGAATCTGAAAAAGTGGCACCCAAGTTGTCCATCTTTGTGAACTATAAACAGTACTAGAGTTAAAAGACATACGATTTGCAAACCCAATGCAAAGAGCTCCGGCTGCTTCTCACTGACCGGGGAGTTTGCATCTCCTCTTGGGAGGGAAGTCATGAAAAAACCTGATTCGTTTTCCTATGCTGCACGGCAACCCACGGTGGGGAGGGGTGGGGTTTCAGTCCCACCCCCACCACCCCCGTGGGCGGTGCCTGCCGGGGTTCCCTGCCCACCACGACCCCCTGGCAATTTCACTGCACTAGGAAAAGCAGAAATGAAACCCCACGTGTGGCAGTTGCTCTTAAAAATATATATATATATATCAGTGCAGTCAGGCCCCATAGGGGGAATATATATCTCTATGATTAAAAGTTGCTTTTACTGTAAAACAGGTTGGAGGGATGGGGCGGGGTAGGGAGTGGCAGGGTGGGTCGGTGGTTGGAAAGTTATGTGAAGATTAGCTTCCCATGGGCTGCCTGGTGTCACTGGGAGGACGTCGCTGCTGGGTTCTGGATTTTCCCTTTGCACGGGAGGACTTCCTGGAAACCCAGCTCGGCACCTGAAACCCAGGCTACGAGCAAGATGGGCAGAGAGAAAGAGACCTTTGCTATCTCGCCAGAGCCCCCACCCCCCACGGCTCCACGCAGGATGCCCCGCCCCCCCAACACCAGCTGGCCGGAGTTGGAGCTGTGTCTGTGCTGCGGCCACAGGCAGGGGCTGTGACGTCCCCTTGGATCCTACCAGGACACTGGGGGGGCCTGGGCAGCCGGACCCCAGCAGGCCACCTTGCCAACAAACACGCGTGGAAAAAGCATATGCACCAGCCTCCTGCAAAACACCAGCTGTAACTCTAATGACAAGGTTATAACATAAACCTAAAGTAAGAGGATAACATGTAAATACTGTGTTATATAGCCTACAGTACAGTAATCTGGATAAAAACCAACCAGGGAGGGCCAGCTTTCCTACCCCTCCCCCACAGGAGGCCTTTACTTGCCTAAGTTTGACCGGCCTTCAATGCAAATCTTAACCTCCTGAGGAATTAGAGAAGGCTTAGGAAGAGTCAAAGGTGGCTCGTCTTCTGGCCTCTCCAGTTTGCGGGTCTCCGGCGCGGACCACCTCCTCTTCCTGGTCGCCGAGGGCTTACAGGGTTCAATTTTGGTGAGCAAGGGCGCTGTGGGCAATCCGATTTTTTCTGGAAACTTCAGTTCTCCGTTCTCCGAGAGCATCGCGGCGCTTCCCTGATGAATTCCGTTTTCCTGCTCGGCGTACCGGTGTCTGACGGCCGCAAGGCTGTCGTGCTTGGCGTGCTTCAGCAAGACGCTGGCCGGATCCACGGGCTGGCCCTTTTTAACAGAGCCATTCTTCAGGTTCTTGAGCGTAAGCGAGATGCAGACATCCCCCACGGTGAGTTTGGAGCACGGCAAATCGAAGAGCTGGCTGGTTCGCTCAGGACAGCAGGACGACCAGCCCTGCCCAAACACAAAGAAAGGGTACTCCACCAGGACCTCCACGCTGACCTGCGGGCACAGAGGGAGACAGAGAGGGGAGGAGACGGAGGAGATACGTGAGCTGGACTAGGGTCTTTTGACAACCTATATGTGAAGGCTACGATCACTGGGTGAATGCTATAGCCATGTTTTCCCACTCCGCTCCATCAGGTTGATTCCAGCATCCCTCACGGCCATCAAGTCCATACCGACTCTCTAGGACAGGGTAGAACTGCCTCTGTGAGTTTCTGAGATTGCAACCCTTTATTGGGGGTAAGGGTGGCAAAAAGCCTCATCTTTCTCCCACAGAATGGTTGATGGTTTCAAACAGCTGACCTTTGATTAGAAGCCCAACGTGTAACTACTATGAAACCAGGGTTCCTTAGTGACCCTATTTTGGTTGCCAAAGCTGTCAATGGGCATTTTTCTCCCTTGGAGTGACTGGTGGATTTGAACCACTAACCTTGCTGCTAGCAGTCCAGAGCTTATCTCATAGGCCAATCTATCCTCCTTTACATGTCCATTGCACCTGATGTACATTTCTGCCTCACTTCAATAGTTCAAAATGACCAGCACCTCTGCAGGAGAAGGTTGAGGCTGTCTGCTCCCCTAGAGATTGATAGCTTTGGACAGCCCATTTAGGGTCACTATGAGTCAGCATAGATTCAGTGGCAGTGGTTGGTGGTCTTTTGAAACCACGTATGGCAGGGCTAAGTATGGAGCAGCGTCAGACAATGTCTATTGTCCACCAGACTGCCCTTCAGCACTTCCAGTTAGGGGAAGAGTAATCAGTAACTAGCCGTCGGTCTCTCATACTGTGCATTGCAGTAGTGCTGGAAGCTAGGTCACTGATATTAAAATACCCGTAGTGGATGGTCTTAGTGGTGCTTCCAGACTAAGACAGACTTGGAAGAAAGGCCTGGAGATCTGCATCCCCCAAACAGCCGGTGAAAGCCCTCTGCATCTCCACAGGATGCTGGAAGATGAGCCCCTGTGCGGGAAGGCTCTCGGCACCCACAGTGGCCGCAGCCTACCATCGAAGGGTGACATTTCGTTCTGCTGTACACGGAACCATCAGAGTCCACTTCCTTGATGGCGGCTAACCACAGTCCTCAGTGAGAAGCAGAGGACAGCGTTCCTGGGGCCCTGGAGGATGGGCAGAGTTTGCAGAGGGTTGTGGGGGAACTGTGTGATCTCTGGTGGCATAGTGGTTATGTACTGGACTGTTAAGTGCACAGTCAGTCGTTGGGACCCACCAGCTGCTCTGGGGGAGAACGATGCCACATAAAGAGTTACAGCCTCACACACCCGCAGGGGCTGTTTCTGCCCTGTGCTGGAGGGTCACTGTGAGTCGGAACTGGCTGGAAGGCAGGGAGTTGGGATTTGGTTTGGTGGGGAAGACACAGTTGTGGGGAGGGTCAGTGGGTGCCTCCGCAGACCCCTAGCCAAGCCCTCATTGCCACTTCTGCTTTTGTTTGAGAAACAAGTATCAGAAGCAGGTCGAGCCTTCCAATAGCTGCTACTTTTTGCAGGTCACAAGGAATTCAGCGGAAAGGATGGTCCTGGAGTTGATAATCCAGGGGGGAAAGCCACCCAGGTGAACAAGACAATTGCCAATGAACTTGGCAAGTGGGGTTAGAGCTCTGCGTGGTGTGAAGTTAGCAGCAGGCAGAGGGCAGGCACACTGCCCAATCTGGATAAGCAGGGAGCAAGGGAGTTTCCTGGGACCACCTGGAGACAGATTTCAAACAGAACACAGAGTAGAAGCATGGTCGCAGGGAAGGGGTATTTCTGGAAACGGGGTTATATGAACCAAGACATGGAGCAACTGCAAATTGTCCCAGAAAAGTCGCATGCTTGCTACTCAGGAAGAAATGCACTGCAGTTTGTAACTTATTCCTGCCTGATGCAAGTCAGAGACAATGGCGTTCGTATTTCAGATGCCCTCTGTTTAAACTTGGTAGTCTCTTTCATGGTTCTGCATACTCCTGGTTTATTCCCTGCTTGTGGGTACAGCCTGACTCCTTGCTGTCACCAATGGCTAGGATCTTGGTATGTGAAGCATATTATACATGCTCCTCAGAGAAGCCAATGGTTCATTTATGGAAATAATACCTATTCATTAGGAGCCTTGGTGGCATGGTGGGCTAGGCATTGCGCTACTAACTACCAGATCAGTGGTTTGAACCTACCAGTTGCTCTGCAGAAGAAAGATGAGGCTGTCTGCTCCTGAAAAGATTTAAATCCTTAGAAACCCATGGAGGCAGTGCCACACTGTCCTATAGGGTCGCTATGAGTCAGAATCGACTCAATGGCAGCGAATGAGCACACTCAGAGACACCTCTCTCTGATGTGGCAGCTGTCTCCAACCTACCAAGTCTCTGCAGACTCACTGATAAGAAACATCTGCAGGGCCTTTATAACAAGAATGTGATTGGTTACACCACAAACTGCAATACAAAACTATAAAGCAAACTAGTGAAAAGAGCAAACCCACTGGCATGTTATCCATGCTGACTCATAGCGACCCTACAAGGCAGAGTACAATGGCTTTGCAAGGCTGTGACTCTTTATAGGAGTAGAAAGCCTCATCCTTCTCCCGTGGAGTGACTGGAGGGTTTTGAACTGCTGCCCTTATGGTTAGCAGCCCAACTCGTAAGCACGGTTTAGACATCTCAAAAGCCTTTCAGGATGCCCTCATCTCAAAACTCCCAAGACAGGGCTGAGGATTCAATGAGGCGGTGTGGCTTGCAGCTAGAGCAGTCTATCTAAAGCACTGCATGAGGGAAATAGGGAGAGGGAGAAGAGTGTTTTAGATGTGCCCTAAACTGAGCCGTTCTTAAGGGGATCTACAGATTTTTACATGGATAGAAATGGAAACACCGGTTCCATTCCTTACCAGGCCTGCCCATGGTCCATTAACCTTCTTCCTCAATCCTGGCATTGCCTTATCCCAAAGGAGTTCTGCCATCTTGGAAAAAGATGTCACCACAACTTATCCCCAGCGAGGTCCACACTCTTGTGAGGATGGTACAGGATCATGATCGCGCAGTGTTTTTATTCTGTTGGGCACAGGGTCGCTAAGGGGTGGAACTTACTGGATGGCAACTGCCAACATCAGGTCAACACAATCCTCCTTAGAGCGGAAGGATTATCCAGGACATCCTTTGTGGCAGGGGGTGAGATGAGTACTTTCAACCAAGTGCGACTTCCTCCCCAGCCCCCAGCCCGCTCCTCTTAATTCTCTACACAATGCTTTTTGGGGAACGAAGATGATTTCTCCTTTTATTGGGGGAGAGTTAAAACCTTGGGGTTCCTATCTCACAGAAGTACACTACAGCATTTATAACCCATCTATTTTTATTTTATGATTGGGTGTGAAAGAAAAATATTTAATGTGATATTCTTAAATGCTACTCATCACTATCAGTTAATGATGGGAGAAGTAGTAGGCTTTCTACTCCTGGAAAGAGTTATCATCTTGGAAACCCACAGGGCCAGTTCTAGCCTGCCCTAGAGCGCCACTAGGAGGCAGAATTTACAGGATGACAGTGCGTTGAGAAACAGCAAAGAAATGACACAGTGGGGTATTCTGGCAAGGATATGTGAGGGGGCTTCAAAAGTTGGTGGGATAATGGAATGAAAAGATAATGGTTTTTTTCCATGAACTTTTTGAACCCTCTTTGTATATGGTCAAGCCAGCCCATTTAAAATTCCTTGAAGAGCAGTATACGCCTCTGAACAGTCTGTTCATAGCAACAGGATCTGTTTTGTACGTGGATCCAAAACAGAGCTGGTGTGATTCTGTGACATAATGTCACTTGTAAACTGGAACAGTGGGTCTTGAATGCATGCTCTGAGTTTGAGAACCACATAAGCCTTCCCCACAGTCCTGAGACATTGATCCTGAACCATTAGTGGTCACCTGTTCAATAGGCTACCTTCCAGTCTCAATATAGTTTAATGAGTACACCCTGAGATGGGCAGCGATCGTTGAAGACCTAGTTCTTTTCCTCATTGAGGAGACAAAACTTAAAAGCCAACCAGAGGCATTGGCAGGGAGCATCAAGGCACTGGACACGATGCAATCTGAGGAGCTCCGCTTGGCTGTCAAGCAGGCAGCCCTAGCTTGCTGTTGCTGTGGCAAGGAGTGGTCGGGTTGGTTCTGACCCATAGCATCCCCTATGGACAACAGAGTGAAGCACTCTGGGTCCTGCACCGTCTTCATAAGTGTTGTCAGGTTTCAGGGCCCCGTGGCAGCCACTGTGCCAACTCATCTCATGGAGGCTCTTTCGCCTCTTCACTGTCTTTCTATTTTCTCAAGCCGGAGGTTAGGCTCTCCGGATAGAACATCCAGAGAACACTAGCTTCGAAGGAGCACTCTGGCTGAGGCTCTTCAGAGACAGATTGGTTCGTGTTTTGGGCAGTCCAGGGAACTTTCAGTGTCCTTCGTTCGGTGAAGCATTGCATAATTGTTCTTCAGTCTTCCTTATTCGATGTCCACCTTTCACATGCATAGGGGGCAATCAAATATACCTTGGCTTGGGTTGGGTGCACATCCATCCTCAAAGTTTCATCCTGGCTCTTCCCCATGTTAAAGAGGTCTTCTGCAGCAGATTTACCTGACGCAATTCATAATTTGATCTCTTGACTGCTGCTTCCATTGGCTTTGACTGTGCATCCAAGCCAAAGGAAATCCTTGACAATGTCAATATTTCCTCTGTTGCTTCTGATAGTACCTGTTGGTCCAGTTGTGGCGATTTTGGTTACCTCCACCACTCAGGGCAAATTGTCCACAACAGACCTGATCTGCACCCACAAAATGATACACCCCATCTTCCTCCTGCTCTCAATAAATGGCGCCCCCTATCTTTCTAACCATTCAAGTCAAAGGCCTGTTCATCAAATCCGACTTCTCTTTCTCCCATGCCATAGGTATCCACATCTGAAGGATTTGGCTCGCCTCTGAACATATATCTTGAATCAGACTGTTTCTCACTATCTCCATCATCTTGGTGCTGGCCAAACCA